CTCTCAACTGCACCAAACACTCTCCCCCAGACACCAACAGGAGCTCCCAGGAAATGGCTCTGCAAGGACATTCTGCTCCCTGGACAGTGACACCTGGGAAATCTCCCTCCCCTGAGAGCCCACAGCCTGCTCTCAGCTCATCCTCATCAATCCAGCCGTGGATTTCCACATTAAAACCTTCCCCAGCTCCTAAAGAGCACAGAGAAGCAGCACCTGCCCTCCCTGCAGCAATGCCCACCTTTGGGAACGGTGATCTCCAGCCCTGGGATTCTCTCCCAGCACGGCTTCAGCCTCCTGCTGCCTCTGCTCCTGCTGGGGTGCAGCCCATGAGTCTCCACACCCCGACCTCCTCATCCTCATCCTCATCTCCTGGCTCTGGGTCCCAGCTCCAAGGAACTTCTGCCCCTCCTGTGCCTCGAGGAGCCCTGGCTGGGATGCTACAGGTGAGCACAGGGAGAAGGAGCAAACCTGGATCTCCAGCATTGTCCCCAGCAGCCAGCCCTGTCCCCAAAACTGATTCTCCTCCTCTGTCCCTAACAGCCAGCCCCGTCCCCAAAATTTATTCACCTCCCCTGTCCCTAACAGCCAGCCCCGTCCCCAAAATTTATTCTCTCTCACTGTCCCCAGCAGCCAGCCCTGTCCCCAGCCCCTCTGGAGCACACAGGGACCAGGAAGTTCCCCTCCCCAGCCTTGTCCCCCCCAGCCCCACCAATTTGGGAGCTCCTGCTCCTCTCCTGCTCCCATCCCCTGCCCAGGGAAGCCTCCCCAGCCCCAGCACAGCCCATCCTGCCCCAGGGGTGCCCAGCGAGCTCCCAGCCCCCCTGGCACAGGCTCTGGTGCACCAGTTCAGGATGTCCCTGGATGCAGCTGCCAGGAACCTGAGCACAGCCATAGGTGTCCCCCTGACCCTGCTGCCCTCGTCCCCACACCTGTCCTTTGTGCTGAAGAGCACTGATGGCATGATCTGCCTGCAGCCCATGCAGGATTCCCCCCTCCCCAGAGAATTCCCAAATTCCAGTGTTGGGGGGCTGCTTTCCATCCAGCAAATCCTGGCAGCACCCAATTCTTCAGCGCTGGACCTTGCAAGCTTCCCCCTGAGCCCTTCCAGCGTGGTCCTGGTCAGGCCAGTGTTTGTCCTGCTGCCCAGTGACAGGGCACAGCCCTCTCCTCAGGGCCACCACAGGATGGCCCAGCTGGCCACGAGTGTGGGGACACCGGGCAGCAGCCAGGATGTCCCAGTGAAAACCAGTCCCTCTTATCCCACGGGGAGGTCTGTGGGACCTGGAACTGCTCTGTCCACTGTGCCCAAGCACCAAGCAGAGAGAGCAAAAGGAATTTCGGAGCCAGTGCCAGCTACTCCTGTTCCTACAGCCCTCAGGGGCTTGTCCCCAGCTGTCACCTCAGCCCCAGGCCATGAGCTGGACCCCAGGGTGAGCCCCACAGTGCCCACCGTGCCCAGGCTGCCCGAGGAGATGCAGATTCCTGCTCCCCATCCCCAGCAGGCCACGGGCACTGCTTTGCTTTCCCTGCCAGCAGAGCCTGGCACCTCCCCTGTGCCACCAGAGCTGGTGATCACTCAGAGCCTCCAGCCTTCCCCCAAACTGTATTTCACCCCTGAAAGGCCACAATCCTCCGCTGGAACTCCTTTCCTGCCCCGTGGCTCCCCAGAGCCTGGCAGCAGCACAGGGACCCCAGGGCAGGTGGGCTCAGTGGCCACCCCCAGCCCAGCCCATGCCCCCTGCACGGGCTGTTTGCCTTCCAGACCCCTGCCCAGGGCACTGCCCAGCACCCAGCCCCTGCAGCCCAGCCCTCCAAGGCTGCCAGCTCCAGCTGTCCCCAGCCCATCCTCAGCCGTGCTTCCAGCCAGGAATGAGCACAGCCCAGCCCAGTCTGGGCTCCCTGTGCCTGCCACAGCAGCTCAAACGCCCAGCACAGCTGGAAATCCTCGTCTCACCCAACATCTGGAGCTGGAGCTCAGCCCCGCTGTGCCTCAGCCCATCAGAACCACACAGAGACCAACAGCAGCGCCACAGCAGGCTCCGTCTGCCACACACGTCCAAAGGAAAACGACAATTTCTGGGGAGGTCGTGGCTGTGCTGACCCAGGCAGGGATCTCTGCCAGCTCTCCTGCACCTGCCCCAGCTCCTGCTGAACTCCTGTCCCAGGCCAGCACGGGACAAAGCACGAGGCCAACCAAAACCAGCACCAGGGCAGGACAAACAGGAGCTGGTAAATCCCTGGGGAGCAGCACGTCTCCATCGGCGATGTTCAGCTCCAGGACACCACAGAACCCCCCAGCAGCCCCGGGGGATGAGCTGGGCTTCACTCCAGCCCAGCCAGCTGTGTCCACGAACTCTGGCACTGCCCTGGGACATGCCAAACCCACCCAGGGCAGTGCCCAGGCTGCAGCAGCGGGCACTCCTGTCCCTGCAGCCAGGGGTGACGGTGTCACTGCTCCACCCCAAGGTGAAGAGCTGCTCCACCTGCCAGCCCCAGCCCTGCAGCCTGACCCAAATGTGGTGCTGGAGCCTTCAGGGACACTCCCTGCAGCGCTGGGGGATGGGGAGGGGGCAGCAGGAGGAGATGCAGCCCCCAGCAGGCAGCTGCTCACTCAGGCACCCGTGTCTGCTGCACAGCCAGCGTCACCCAGGCTCCTGCTGGAGAAGGTGTCCCACCCTGTGGAGAACATGTCCCACCCCCTGGATGAGGTGTCCCACTCTCTGAAGAACATATCCCAGCCTCTGGAAAACGTATCCCATCATCTGGATGAGGTATCCCATCCTTTGGAGAAGATGTCCCACCATTTGGAGAAAGTATCTCACCCTGTGGAGAACATATCCCACCCTCTGGAGAAAGTATCCCACCATTTGGAGAACATATCCCACGGTCTGGATGAAGTGTTCCACCCTCTGGAGAATGTATCCCACCATTTGGAGAACGTATCCCACTCTCTGGAGGAGATATCCTACCCTTTTGAGAATGTATCCCACCTTCTGGATGAGGTGTCCCCCACTCTGGAGGAGATATCTTCCCCTCTGGATGTGTCCCACCCTTTGGAGAACCTATCCCACCCTTTGGATGAGATATTCCACCCTCTGGAGAACGTATCCCACCTTCTGGATGTATCCCACCCTTTGGAGAAGATGTCCCACCATTTGGAGAACGTATCCCACCCTTTGGATGAGGTGTTCCACCCTCTGGAGGAGATGTTCAATCCTCTTAAGAACCTATCCCACCTTCTGGATGTGTCCCACACCCTGGAGAACATATCCCACTCTCTGGAGAAGGTATTTCACCCTCTGGACGAGGTGTTCCACCCTTTGGAGAATGTATCCCATCGTTTGGAGAATGTATCCCACCCTCTGGAGAACATATCTCACCTTCTGGAGGTGTTTCCCAGTCTGGAGGAGGATGCCATGGAACTGGACCCTGGTCACTCCAGCCCTGGCCCTGCTGCCCGGCCCCCCACACCCACAGCAGCTCCTGGCGCCGCTAATGAGCTCGTTAATCCTGGCACTAATGAGCCCGCACTCGATGGCCCTGAGCTGTTCCCAGGCAGGGACCTCAGCCCGGTGCCCCCGGCCCCGGAGAGCCCCGGGAACACCCCCGGGAACATCCCCGGGAGCATCTCCTGGCTGGATGCTGCGGGCACTGCCCCAGCCCAGGGGCTGCTGCCGAGCACGGAGGAGGCAGAGGAGGATGGCAGGACCCGGGAGGTGACAGACGGAGCAGCTGAAGCCTTGGGGACAGCGCTGGGGACAGTGGTGACACTGGAGCCCGGAGCCCTGCGGAGCGGCTCCCAGCAGAGGAGCGGGCTGCGCTCGGATGTCCCCGTGCTGGACGGGCAAGTACCCCTGGCTCCCTGCTTTGGGTGGTGCCGTTGCAGCCTGGCTGCGTTCTATTTTATTCCCTTTTTTCCCCATTTTTTTTTTTCCCCAGCCTCGCCGTCGTGCGCGACTCCTGCGGCTCCGGGAACCACTCGGTGCGGCTGAGCCTGAGCCGTGCCGGGGACACAACCCCCGGGATCCCCGGGCCAGAGCCCTCCCAGGACACCTTCCTGGCTCTGGTGGCCCTGCAGAGCAACAGCAGCCAGGCCCTGCTGCAGATCCACTCGTGCTGCGTGACCCCCTCTGCCAGCCCCGGGGCTGCGGGGGCCCAGTGCTGCCTCTTCCACAGGTGGGAATGGGGAAAATTTTCCTCTCCTTGGGGATTTATGGAGATAAACCACCCTGCTCCCCACTGGGTGCTGTCACAGGTGTGCAGCACTCCGTTCCTGCTGGGGGGGCACATCCCAGCACATCCCAGCACACCCCAGAACATCCCAGCACCTCCCAGCCAGGCTTCTCCACACTCCCATCTCAGTATCTCACCTGCCTGCCCGAGGCCAGGGGAACGGGAGGATTCATTACCCGGGGTTTGTAAACCTGCTGAGGTGTGAAATGTGTGTTCCTGGCAGGTCAGGGGTTGATTGGCACGCTGCAGCAAAACCAATCTCCCAAAACAGCTCTGCTGCTGTGAGCAGGGCAGGTGCAGCTGGCAGTGCTGATGTTTTGGGATTTTCCTGGGTCTCAGATGAGGATGCAGGGCTGTGGTGTGGTTTGTGCAGAGCTGTGCCAGCAGAGCAGGTCGGGGAGAGCTGGGATTTGGAGCTGTTTGCTGTTTGTTCCTGCCAGGCTGCCCTTGGAGTGCAGACACATCCAGCTGCTGCAGGGGGGCAGCTCCAGAGCCGCCAGCTTCTCCATCCAGCTGTTCCAGATGCTGAACCACTCCGTGGCTTACCTGCACTGCGAGCTGAGGGTGTGCCTGCCAGGCCAGCCGGGCTGTGAGCAGGTACAGAGGGGGATCTGCTCCCACCCAGCAGGGTTTGGGTGCTCCCAGAGTCCCACACCATGGCCTGGTTAAAGTCAGGGAGAGGAGTCAATGCTGTGGAATGGTAATAGTCAGTAATCCCTGAGAAAAGGAAATTAGGGAATAAAGATTCACATTTGTGCTGGTTTGGAATGACAGCAGAGGTGGAAAAGTCTGAGCAGAGGCAGGGCCCTGGGGCAGGAGCTTCTGTTCAGGACGCTCCCAGGTGTTTTCCATGTCTTTCCCAGGGCTGCTTGGAAAGTGTGGAGCCCCTTCCCCAGCCCAGTGACAGGAGCAGCCACGGGAACCTGCACAGCCTGGTGTCCCTCGGGCCCGTTTGGAGGATGAACAACAGGTTTCTGTACAAACCAGTGCAAGGTGGGGCTCTCCTCGTTTCGTTTCTCTTGCAGAGGTTTTTGCTCAGCTTTTCCTGCTGCAGGAAAACCAGCACATTTTTAACAACTTCCTTGATTAGATTATATCCCAACAACTCCTCGCCTTTGCTTTGTCCTCCCTAAATCCCAGACATGGGGGTTAATCAGTGTCACATCCAACAGAGCTCCAGCCAGGACACACAGCCACAGGCACCCTGTGAAGGAGCTGAAGCTTTAGGAGGAGGAAAGGGGAGAAAAATGAGGCAGAATGTTCTGTGTGTAAAGAATTGCAGCACTTTGGAGCAGAATGAGGGTGGCTATAAGTCAGGGGTGTTCGTTCATAGGTGAAATACAGAAGCTGGTTAATGTTAATAAAATGTTTATAGCTAATTAGAAAAGAGTGACACTGAGCTGGTAAAGCACGAGCAACTTGTCAAAACTCACTGGCACCATTTGAACTCCTTGTGGCTTTATCCGTTTGTGCCAAGAACATTTCTCACTGCTCCATTCCCTCTCTCCCTGTGCCCAGGTGCTGGTCCTGCCACGCTGCTGCCCATCCTGCTGGCATCCCTCGCTGGCTGTGCTGTGCTGGGCACTGCCTTCATGGGGCTGTGGCTGCACCAGCGGCTGAGAGCCAAGCCCAGCCGCTGTGGCCAGCTTGGAGAATTCCAGGGACTGTGATCCCGAGCGGCTGAACTGCTCCTGCAGCTCCCGCAGCCACCAGAGAGGCAGCTGGATTTGCTTTGCTTCTGTAGAGCTTCTGCTGAGCCAGGGAGCAGGAGATGCCACCTCTGCTCCGAGCCTGCCTCGCCTTCCTTCCTTTCCTTCTGCATCAGCGACCCCACAAGCTGCAGGGTAGAGAAGGAATCCTCGTAGTGCTCCAGGGACAGCAGAGCTGAGAGCCCAGCCCGGGGCAGCAGAGAGGAGATCGGGGGGCAGCAGAGCCAGGTGAAATACAGCACCGTGCACTAGGGCCTGCCAGCAGGGAGAAATGGTGGGAAATTATGGAATTGGGAGCGTGGACAGGACCCAAGAGCTCCAGAGATGTTCCCCTCGGCTTTACAGCTCTTCTCATCTCTGAGGAGCCAAGTCCCTTCCTCCTTTCCCTTTGGTCCTGTTGCTGTTTTCTCCAGCAAGTCCCCACTAAAGGTCAGAGAACTCCAGTGGCAGACTGGAATCTGCTGGAATGCGCTGGGGAAAGGCCTCCAGAGGATGGGGGATACAACCAGGGCTCTCCTGGGGCACACTGGGGTTTCGGGGTGGCTGTGGGAGGACAGCCAGGGGGGTGCTGTGGACAGAGTGGGGCTCCAGCCCCACATCCCCCTGCCCCAGAGGAGCTGGGGCTGCTCCATCCTGCCCAGGACCTGCTGCTGGTGGAGAAGAACAGAGCGACCTCGGGAGCTGCAACCCCCTGAGATGAGCAAGGAAAAGCATCTCTGGGGAGGGATAATGAGAGAGAATTAATTCCCCTGTGCTGGGAATGACCAGCAGGACTCCTCACCTCCTGCTGCTCCTGCCCTCAGAGCTGCAACGCTCCTGGCCCAGAAATGCACCTGGAAGGGCTGGGGAGGGAGAGAAGCAGCAGCTGCAGCCGTGGGCTGAGTGTCCCCCAGTGCCTGCCCTCCTCCCGAGCTCTGTAATAAACCTGAGCACCGCACTTTGTGTCTGGTCTGTGCCTAAAATGGGGCCCCTTGTCCTTGTCCTCAGCTCCAGAATTGTGTTGGCAGGAGGGGAGCAGAGCATCGCTCCTGGGGAGTGCCAGGGAATTGGCAACAATCACTTTCTAACCGGGTTTTATTCTCCCTAAAAGGCTGCAGAGCCTGGTTGGCTTTTTTCCCTTTTTCTTTTTCCTGAAAAGAAGGGAATCCCCTGCCAGAGCCCCTCGTCAGTGTATCACGAGTAACTCACATTTCCACCTGGCTCAGGCTTCCTCCAAGGATTTCTTCAAGATTCTGCTGCAGAACTAAAAATCCCAGGTCCAAGGCTTACTGGCAGTGAGACAATTAACCTGCAGCAGTGCTAATTATTATTTGTATTGTGGCAGCACTGAGGAAATCTGCACCACCTTGTATTTGACACCGAGCTACCTCCAGAGAGAGCTGAGGCATTAAAAACACAAATGCACAAGGCCCAGACAAGAGTTTTTAAACTCCTTTTCAGCTGAAGGTGTGTGTGCTGCTCCTGGTGAGGGTTGAACTGCTCTGACCAGTCTTTGCTGCTCCAAGCACCCATTCCCAGGGATTTGACAGCAGATTTTATTTTTTCCCTGAGGGAACTGCTCTGGTTTACCACATTTCTGGTATTTCTGCTGAGGTTTTTTTCTCAGGCTCATGCACTCCTGTGCAAGTTCAGGTTGGTTGGGGGTTTTTCTTGTTCTTTAATCTTTCTGGAGTGTTTTCCACCTGTCCTTCCAGTTACGTCTGAGGGGGTTTTAAATTCAGTTTTTCCTATTTCTGGAGTGTTTTCCTTCTGGAGTGTTTTCCACCTGTCCTTCCAGTTACGTCTGAGGGGGTTTTAAACTCAGTTTTTCATATTTCTGGAGTGTTTTCCACCAGTCCTTCCAGCTACTTCTGGGGTTCTTTTCCTCTGTTCTTTCTGGAATGTTTTCCACGTCTCTCATGCACCATTCTGCTCCCTTGGAGCATCACCCTGCCCCACTTCCCCACCTCCCTTTCCCCCAGGCTGTGCCGACCCCTCAGGTGAGGAATCCCACCCTCAGCACGGAGCAGCTCCTTGCACCACCTTGGGAATTCTTGGAGGCTTTGCTGGATATGAGACAGCAGAGCCACATTCCCAGGCTGGAGCTGAGCCATGCAGCTCCTGTGGGAGCTGACACTCAGGATCCACCTCTTGGATGCTGCCAGGGCTCTCCCCAGGTGAATCCCCACCTCCCCGGGCAGGGCAGGGCAGGGCAGGGCAGGAGGAGCTCCTGTGCCTCCCCAGCTCCAAGGCAGCGGCAGGAGCTGTGCCAGCTGTGCCATGGGTGCCAGGCAGCTGGGCAGCCTGACCGTGTTCAGCAAGGAGGATTTCGAGGATGAGTGGCTGCGAGTGGCCAGCGGGGGCTTCGGCCACGTGTACCAGGTGAAGCACAGGAGGTGGAGGACGGTCTATGCGGTGAAGTGCTCCCCGTACCTGCTGCAGGACTCCAGCACGGACAGGTAAACCCCTGGGCAGCACAGCTGGATGGGTTTGGGGATAAAACTCGGCGGGAAGGAGCTGCTGCTGAGGGCTGGGTACCCAAAGGGAGAGGGGGATTGGAGTTCTGCCTTGCCCTGACTCGCGTGGGGATGTGCACACGGGGAGTGGAGCAGGGCTCACACCTGGGGCTCGGCACATTAAACACGGATAAAAGCAGCCTGGTGGCTTTTCTGCAGCTTCCACTGGACGTGGGGGCTGATGTGTATCAATCAAACTGAATTAATCACCAAAATCACCAGGTTTAAAGGTGTGGATTGACAGCTGGCTTTGCTGCCCTGCTCCCGTAGCCTCCAGACATCTCTTTCCTCTCCATGGTGCACCTGCAGCTCCTCTCTGCTCCTTGCTCTGTCTCTCACCTGCACAGACTCTTCTGGTGCCCTCCTTGTGTCTGGAGATGGAGCAGGGCCAGGTAATCACAGCCACTGCTGCTAACACAGCCAATACAGGCAGAGCTGATGGGAAAACAGCAGAGCTGATGGAGTTATTTAATTTAAAATTTTATTTCTTTCAATTTGGGAGGATATTGCCTGGATGAAAATCTCACTCTTGTGTGATTTCTTGTTACTGACAACAACTGAGTTCAGTGACTGTCCTCAGTTTGCTCTGCAGATATTACATTTGCATTCTGTTCTCATTTGGGTGGGAAAAAAAGAGCCAAATAATCAGTTTTACTTCTGTCTCTTATCAATTGCAGTAAAATACCTGAGATTCCTCAACCCATGGGTAGATCTCACTGTGAGGAGCCTGCTAGAGGAAGTCTGGCAGAAGATTTTGCTTGGCTGAACCATTTTAAACCAATTAATGGCCCAGCCTAATTGCTGGCAGCTCAGCTCCGTTCCCAGGCTGTGAATTTTAAAGGCACTGCTGGCATTTTGCTGCTCGGCTGCTCCCTGAGCGCCCTGGGCACCCCAAACTCGTTCAGCAGGTCGGGAGAGGTGAAACTTGGGAGAATTTGGAGGAACAGGTCTGCCAGAGCTGGCAGGGAGGAGCAGACGTGCCCGGGTCCCCCCTGGCAGCAGAGTCACCGTGCCCAGGGCCAGGAGCTGCGGGCACAGGAGGTGCCAAGGCGTGGCTGTGCCTGCTCCTGGCATCCTGCTGCCAGGGAAACGCTGGGAATTCCATGGGATCACAGGCTGGTGTGGGTGGGGACGAGCCTTAAAGCTCATTTCATTCCATCCCTGCTGCAGCCAGGGGCACCTTCCACTGTCCCAGGCTGCTCCAAGCTGGCCTTGGACACTTCCAGGGATGGGGCAGCCTCTGGGAATTCCATCCCAGCCCCTCCCAGGGAAGGATTCCAGCCCGGTGTCCCACCCTGCCCTGCCCTGTGGCAGTTTAAAGCCATTTCACCCGTGTGACAAGCACAGGCTCTCTGTCATCACTGCTAAGGACTCAAATAAGTGCAAGTTTTTCCTCTCTTTCCCTGTGGTGCCTGATTTCGCCCAAATGAACCTCAGCTCATTTTGAGAAGTCACAACAGCTTCCATGTCAGATTTTAGTCTGCAAAAGGTCACTGTGTGGCAGCATTGTCATCAGCTCAAGGGGGAATTTGGGATGAGTCTTTCTGGGGTAGGCAGTGCTCAGAAAGTTACTACAGTTACTGAGCCTATGAATCAACTGATAAAATGTCTTGCTCCCACTGTATTTTTTATTTCTTATTTTCAATTTTCCAGGACCAGCATGAACTGTCTAATGGAGGAGGCAAGCAAGATGGAGAAAATCAAATTCCAGCACATTGTCACCATCTATGGAGTGTGCAACAGCCCCCTGGGGATTGTGATGGAATACATGGCCAGGGGCTCCTTGGAGAGAATCCTCCCCACTCACAGGATGTCCTGGCAGCTGAAATTCCGGGTGATCCATGAGATGGGCTTGGCCATGAACTTCCTGCACAGCATGAGCCCTCCTCTGCTGCACCTGGACCTGAAGCCAGGGAATGTCCTCCTGGATGGGAACATGCACGTCAAGGTATGGCCTTACTGCTGGGTTTGGTGGTTGTCAAATAAGAGGGAGGTTATTTCTGCCAGACGAGTCCAGAATCCCAGAAAATCAGGTTCTTCAGGAGCACTCCATGAAAGATTCACCTGTGGGGTGTTTAACAAGCAGCTGGTGAGCAAATTACACACTGTTCTCAAGATCAGACAGGGAGTCCGGGCCAGCACTGGGAATTTAAGGCTCCAGCTGGACCCAGTGGCCACAGGAACTTTTAAAGATATATATAAAGATAACTTTTATCAAGTTCTAGCTGCTCACACCTCCTCCTATCCCTGATCCCCAAGGATGGGGGATGTCCAGTGTGAGCATTTTGGGACAGTTTTCCTCTTTCTGCTTTCAGATCTCTGACTTTGGGCTGTCCAAGTGGATGGAGCAATCCAGCAGGATGCAGTACATCGAGAGCTCAGCTCTGAGGGGCACCCTGAGCTACATCCCCCCCGAAATGTTCCTGCAGAACAGCAAACCCCCCGGGATCAAGTACGATGTGTACAGGTGAGGGTGACCCAGGGGTGTCCCCGGGCTCTGACAGCAGCAAGGTGGGGCTGGAACACTGCCTCAGTTTGTTTAAATTCTGGTTTTCTGCCTCGTAGAACGTGGGGAACACACGGGGGTGCCCCTCACTGGTGGAGACTGGGAGGGAGGGAGGGGGATTCTCTGTGGATAATCATCATCCCAATCCTGCAGGCTGCACTGCCCCAGGTGCCAGCACAACCTGTTCCTATAAAAACCAGTGAGATCAGAGCCCAGAACAGCCAGTGCTGCCGAGATTGATTTTAGAACAATTCCAATATTGGCTTATTTGCCTCAGTCAACAGGAGCCTGCCCAGGAACAGGCAGAGAAGAGATTTCAGCTTGGCTTTTGTCAATGTCTTAGGGTGACTTTATGATGCTTGTATCCCCAGTTGTCTGTTCTGTTGCTGTTAAATATCAATATCCCCCTTTAGAGGTTTTCTCCCTAAATTTGCCCTAAATCAGGACAGTCTTTTTGGGCAAGGAGCTTTGCAGCAAGAGCTCCATGTCCCTGTCTGGAAATTCCTCAGCTCCTTGGCCTTTACAGCACAGAGTAACAGGCAAGAGGGAAAGGAGGATTTGCACAGCCACAGGAACTAAACCCCACTGGGAATAAAGTGGAAAAAAGGCCCTGAGAGCCTGACTTTGACAGGAAAGGCTCCAAGTCCCTCATTCACTGCACAGACCCTTTGCAGGGTGGTGACCCCACTCTTAGGGGAGATCTATGAGGCAGAATCATAAGGCCTGATCCTTTTGCCCTGGGGGATGAAATCCTCCTGCTCTGGGGGATGAAATCCCTCCCTCCTGAAGACCTTCCTTCCTGATGTCCCCATTTCTCAAGGAGGCAGAAGCAATAAGTGCAATTAATGTCCAAGTGCTCACAGCCTCTCCTCTCCCGCAGCTTCGGGATCGTCATCTGGGAGGTCCTCATGCAGAAGAAACCTTACACAGGTAAACACAAACCCTGCACCTGTGGAACGTTTATTCCAGCCCTTTTCCCAGGGAAAACACCCCGAGTGTGCTGGTTTTTCCCAGGGGCCAACATGATGGCCATCATCGTGAAGGTGGCAGCGGGGAAGAGGCCGGGGCTGGAGCTGGTCAGGGACGACTGGCCCGGGGAGTGCCACCAGATGCTCGACCTGATGAAGAGGTGCTGGGACCAGGACCCCAAACAGAGGCCAAGCTTTGCAGGTGGGACTGGGCTGTGGATTAGCCACGGGTTGACAAGCAGGGGCTAAGCTTGTGCCCAGTTTTGTGCCCAGTTTTGTGCCCAGTTTTCCCAGCCACATCTCCGCGGTTTAACAGCTCGGTGCCCTTTTTGCTGTCACACATCCCCTCCATCCCTCTTCCCTCCCTTCCCACGTGGGTCCAGCCTGGCTCTGGAGCCTGGCACAGCCTGGCACAGCCTGGCACAGCCGAGCTGCTCTGCCCTGGCAGATATCCCTGTGGAGACAGATGTGCTGCTGGCTCTGATCCAGAGCCTGGTGCAGGACCCGGAGAACGAGCGCCTGGTCAGGAAGATGTCCCACAAACCACCCATCTCCAGGAGCCAGCAGGTGAGGAGAACCCCGTGGCAGACAAGTAGAGATATTATAAAATCCAAGTCTTGTAAAAGATGGTTTAGGCCCTGCTAGTCTAGCTAAGCTAGCTTGGAAGTTCCCATAAGAAAGAATCAGAGGAATAAAAAGTTTGTTAACACAGCAACCTATTCTGGGAGAGAAAAATAAGTTTGCATCTGCATAAACAATGAATCTGTCCCATGAGAACCAGTGAAGAAAATATGTAAACAATCCAAGAACAGAGAGATTTAATGGAAAGGTAAAATGCCAATTACCAGCAAGAAAACTACTAGCTAATTGGAGTTCAACACAAGGTCTGTAAAACCTGTATAAAAATGAGTTATGTGAATAAAGAATGGCCTTTCTGCATTTACAGACTAAGTCCCATCTGCTTATTATTGCAGCAGAACCCCCCTGGGCCACTCAGGAAATTCCCCTGGTTCAAGATCTCAGCAGATCTTGAGGCTGTTTCCCCTCCCAAAGGTGCACCTCAGCACCTTCACAGGTGTCTGCACAGGTTGTGCCTCTGAAATTCATTTATGGGGATAAGACACTTGCAGATTCATTAACAAATGCACTAAGTGATAAATAGTCTGAGAGGAAAACCCTTTTCAGGTTTGTCATGGTGGCTTCAGTCACTAAAAGAAACTCACGCAAACACAGAGTCTGTTCATGCCACAAAACTGAAGATGTTTCCGTTTGAACAACTAAAATAAAATAAGTTTTAAATCCCCATGTTTCTCTGGCTAAGAAAAAAAAAATAATCAGGCTTCTGGGTAGTCACAATGTAATCCCAGCTAGTGGAGTAATTATGCCTAGAAAACAGGGAGAGATTGGAGCTGGAATTACTGGTATTTAGAGGGTTTTGGCAAGCTGTGCAAGAAACCAGAGGCCTGAAGAGATGGGGGCTTGGGGGTCCCTAAACAACAAAGGAAATAATTTTGGGATGCTGCCGTGCAGCCAGGAAGCAGAATCTGTGTGTGTTTGGGAGCAAATGAACACGAGGAGCAAAAGCTCAGGGATATCCAGAGATCATCTTCAGGCTCCCCCATTCCTGCTGTGTCAGGACTGGCTTAGCTGAGTTTTGGGTACAGAAACAGGAGTGGATGAAAAACTCTCAAATGATGGCACAAAGCTGCAGAGCAGCAGCAAAGGACTTTGTACAAACATTTCAGAATGTAAATGAACACCTTGTTTTATTCCTTTTTCTTTCCTCCTTTCTGAAAACCAAGAGTGACAAAGAGGAGTTCGCCTTCCCCAGAGACACCAGGAGTGGGGGTAAGTGGGGACTGGCTTTAGAACTGAAAATTAAAGGAGGGGAAGTTATAAAAGAGGACGCTATAAAAGTTGTTTATTTTGTTGTAGAAGGATGTGGCTCATAGAGTTTTCCGTGTGGGTGACATTTTAAGTTAAGGGAAATGAGCTATTCAGGAAATAGGTACTGTGTGAGAGAGAGGCATGTCTGGTGTTATTTTACATGCCTTATCTCTCATTATTTTACATTCCCTATCTCTCAAATGACTTTATTTCATGTCATGCCATGAAGAGTCACAAGCTCTCCTGACACAGCAGCCAAAGCTGTTCTCACCTTGCCATTACATCCCATGCCTAAAGTGGGTCACCCTCCAAGAACAAAAATCCTTAGATGTGACTCAAGCCATGGCTCCATGGCTTTTGACTGTCAAATTGTGTTCCAAGGAAGCAAGAAAGAGGGGGCAGTCTTCTGCATGAAATAAAAAAAAGGATTTATTACTTTGGGGAATCCGGGGAACAGAGAACAAAAATCAAAAACAGCAAAGGTGCAACAACTTAAATATGGGGAAATTTCAAGGAGAAAGTACAAATTCTTAGCAAATTTGTAAAGGGGAAGGGTAAAGAATAAGTTTTATAAAGGCATTGTCCAATAAGAAAAGTAAGAAAGAAAACTGAGTCACAGGGACTAACAAGATGTCGAGTTTTAAGGAATTTCCAAAGAAAAATTCCAAGCAAGAAGCTGGCACGAAGCAAAATTGACAAGTAATTCAGAATAAATTGACAAAGTAAAAAATACAATTTTAAACAAAACCATTAACTGGGGGAATAACGAAACATACCATTAATAAAAAACCACGGTGCATCACTGTCCCTCCCTTCTGGGAGTTTTTCACTCTTTGTGCCCCGTTCTGTGTGTGCTGCTGACTTTAGGGAAGGACAAGCAGGAGGTTCCTGTCCCTGCTCCGTGCAGGGAGCCCGGCGGCCACGAGGAGCCCCAGGAGCTGGGCAGGGAGAACGGCCTGAGCCTGCTGCACCTGATGGTCCTGCAGGGCAACGTGGGCAAGGTGTGTCAGAGCTGAAACGAGGGCCTTAAAGAGGTGGCTCTTTAAAATGGTGTTTATTGTATTTAAATGATACAGAATTCACGGGTGGTGGGTGACAGCTCAGCTGTTTTAGCCACAGCTGTGGGATTGTCTGAAGCCACTTCAGTTCTGGTTACAATGCATTATTTACTTTCCACTGCAGAGCATTTTAAAGCATGACAACCAATTAATACTTTTTATTGCTTATTACTTTTTATTACCTATTACCTTTTATTGCCAATTAATACTTTACTATTCTTTATAGCCATCATAACTACTAACATTACCATATTCATGTTAGTAATTTTTAATCACAAAAAGTCAGTATGTTGCAGTTTAAGCTAGAAGTTGTTTTTCAGTTTTCTTGCAGTGGAAAATTCTGAGATCTTTACTTGCAACATTGGCTTTCTTGTTTGCCTGTGAGAATCTTTTTTGCTTGGTAAAAACATCTTTTATTTGAGATGGATTTATGTTTTACTCAGAGCCATAAAAACCCCTTCCCTTTGCTCTTTGCCTTCTAGTTACCCAATAAGACTGGCTCAGCATCAAAACTTATAATTTCTATATTTTTTTTCCCCCAAACTCTACATTCAAAGATTTTTGCAGCTGTCAGAGCCTGGGTGAGGCTCTGGACTGTCACAGAGAGCCCAGACAGGTTGTCTTGTGAGGGACAGCCTGTCCTGGAGTCTCAGGCAGGTTTCAGCCACAAGGTCCAGGATGCAGGCAGTGCCTAGAATTTAGGCTAGCAGCTCTTTTGTGATTTCTTCACTTGCAGAGTACCTTCTTGGCTAGCAGAGAAAGAGATCAGGAAGCACCACAGAGGATGCTCCACAAACTCTTTATTTCTTCTATGAAAGGGTCCCAGGGCAGCAAAGCCACTGAGTGGGGTACAAAGAGGGCTTTTGTAGGGTCAGGGTGTCTTGGAAACAGACCAGTAATATCAGGGATTCTGAAGTTAGCCAACTACTAGGTATTTTAGGTTAATAGGGACCCATTACTAGAGGGGTTGGAAAAAAGGACCAATTACTTTCTTAAAAGATAAAGCAGGGTTTGCAAAGGAGCCAATATTTCTAGTATTAGTCAACTTCTTATCTAAGGAATTCTGTTCCATGGGGCTCTCTCGAGGGTCTCCTTTTCCTCCAGAGAGGGTCTCTGCTCCTGAAATAAATGGGCCAGGAGAGCAGCTCCTTTTTAATGCCTTTATTGGAGCTCAGCTTGGGTGGGGAGCTCGAGGGGTCACACACACCACTGCTGTTCCTGAGGGTCGATGCAGAGGAGGAGGTGGTGGTGGTGATGATGGTGGTGATGATGATGATGATGATGATAATGATGATGATCAGCTGTGTCTTCTGGAAGAGCTGGGGCTTCCATCCTCATGGGAGTCCTCAGGAAAAACGTGGCTGGCTCTTAGTCTAGGGATGTCCTGTTGACCAGGTGCTGTTGGGTCATGGTGACAAGGTGAAAATGCCCTGGTTGGTGATTTCATTTTCTCCACTGTTTTCCCTGCCTGGGATTACCATTTTTTTTAGTCTTGGATGTTACATTGGCTTGTTGCTTTTAGGGGTTTTTATTACCGAGTTGTGTCCTATGAGCACTTGCAGTGTGGGAGCGAGTACTGGGACAGGGTAAGGGACAACCAGGAGTGTCAACAATTTACAAAGACATACAGCATTAACAACAAACAGTCAAACATCAAAAATTATGGTCAATTACTGAGACAGGGTAA